ATAAAAGATTTAACCTCATTCATTTCTAAAGAAAATGTAAAAAAAAAAAAAAAAAAATTGATAACAAAAAATAAAATGTTTATTTAAAACATTTAAAAAAATCTAAAAAAATTTAAAAAGCTTTATAGAAATTAATTGTATAAACATTACAAAATGCTTTAAAACTTTTTCATTAAACCAACAAAATCCATGCTTATATAAGTATATAAAGTTATTTCATATTCTTGTGTAATTCACATAAAATGTGTAAAAGTTAGTAGTCACAAAAGCTTTTGAACTTATTCACAAATTAAAGTAACTCAAAAAAATTATTTCTAAAAATTATGGTTTAAAAATATTTTAGGAAGACTTAAGAAAATAGTTTCAAACGTTTAAATTTATCATAAAAAATAAATGCCTACATAAAAAAAACTTATTTATAACGTTTTTTATTAATTTACACAAGTGTTTATGTAAACAATTACTATAATTAATTATATGGTTTTATTTAAAGCCTTTGCGTAAAATAAAAAACTTTAGAAAAGATCAACGATTAAAAGATTTTTATAACATTACACTTTTTTTATTGCATTCAAATTGTTAAAACATCAAAATAGCTGTGGTCAAGTTGTAAAGAAATAAAAATATTAGCGTGGTCAGTTACAGAGTGCGATCGCACGCCATTCCTGTCCAAGCCTGATACTAGCCATGGGTATGCTATTGCTTCACATGCAAGGTCAATATGAATCAACTTTATTATAGTGAATTTGGAATGTCATTATGTATACATTAGGCAATAAAAGTATGAAGCCAAATATGCACGTTTGCTTGAATGTTTTATTTTTTGTTGGTTGAATAGTTTTAACCAGATAATTCGATGTTCCATTATGTGATGTATTGAATCAATTTAACCAGATAGTTAGATGTACCATAATGTGGTATGTTAAATAATTTTAACCAGATAATTTAATGTTTAATAATATGGTGTTTTGAATAGTTTTAATCTAATGTGTTGGAAATTTTTCAACATGCTAGATTATTTTCCATAATCTAGTGTGTTAAACAATTTTAGCCAGATAATTAAATGTTCCATAATGTGGTGTGTTCAATAGTTTTAACCAGGTAATTAGATAATTTGATTTCAAATAAAAACTAATAATTGCATGTAACTCTTTTAACTGGTTACAAAATTAACTCTATTAATTGAAATAAATGTGACAAAATAAAGAACCATTAAAGTTTTAATATGAGCTATAATGTTTTATCAATAGTTATTGGTAAAAATACCAAATATATTATGTAAGACTTTAATTTTAGTTCTTTGTTGCCCAACTTTTTATAGTTGTTTCTAAATATTTAAACATCTTGGTTGTTTATAAGCAATGATGGTATGTCAATACCAATTAAATTACGTCAATTTAATTCTAATTTAGTAACTTCATTAATTTTTTTGTTTTGTCTGTTTTGAAAGAGTTTTTTAAGATTCTGAAATTTTTATTTTTGCTATTATTGCTTGTTTTAAAGAAGTTATTTAGGATTCCAGGTTTTGTGATGATCACTTTAGGATCTTAACTTTACTTTTGTTACTGAATTGTACTGCCATTATACTTTTGTGTTTGGGTTCAATATCTTGTTGAAAAAAAAATTGTGGTCTAAATTAGGGTTGTCAAAATCCGGTTATTTATGTAGAAGAGTGCAGTACATTTCTTAACTAAAACTAACTATTTATATGACTGATGGTAGAAAAAGGCACAGGGAGTTATGGAATTTTGAAGATTTTTTTATTCAAACCACGCTTGAGTATAAACCTTAACAACAAAATAGATATGTGTTTTTAAAGATACATCTTTAAAAGATGTATCTTTAAAAATACATATCTATTTAAAAACACTTTGTTTTGTTGTCTTTAGTATATAAACAGAGAAGACATTAAGATAAAGAACGTCATGCTCATTTTGAATCTTAAATATTTCCAGTGCATCTTTACCAAGAAATCTGCTTATTCTTCTTGGCCTAGTTGTGCTATCATCGTGTTTTTTTGAAAAAGTTTTTGCAGAAGTTTGAAAACTCTTTTAATTGAGTCAAACACCTCATAAATCATCAAAACATCTAAACAGTCGTAATCAAGTTGTAAACAAATATATATATATATATATATATATATATATATATATATATATATATATATATATATATATATATATATATATATATATATATATATATATATATATATATACAGGGCTCTATTTAATGGTCAGACATTGTTAGACTAAGACCTAAGATTGTCCAATCAATTTACAAAGTAATCGGACATTTTGACCAACAATAATTAAATTTTACAAAATAAAGCTTGAACAGGAATAGCATGCGATCGAATGCTATTGCTGACCACGCAAGTGATGTTTTTGTGCTGAAAAAAGAAACGTTAAGCTAAACTTAAACTAGGAAAAAAATTGAAAAAATTAAAGAATAAGCAAAACAGTTCCTTCAAAAAAGAAAACAAATTAGCTTTAAAATAAAACATAAAAACTCAAAGTTAAAATTACTTTTTGTTACGTTTTTAATTGCATTTGAAAAATATTACTTTATAACCTATCTTTTTAAAACATTTAATTAAAGTTACGCAAAATGCTTTTTGATATATAAATGAACAAATTTTATTTAAATGATTGAAAAGCAAAATTAAATTATTGAAAAGAAATGCAGTCTTTTTAAAATCGTAATTTTTATTCATTTCATGCTTTAATTAGTAAGTCAAGTTTAAAAAACTTTTGAACAATTCATTGTAAAAATAGAAACAAAAAATAATAATAATAAAGCAATTAATCATGGGAAGATTTAATTTAACTTTTAACTTATTCATAATTTAAAGTAAGTTGAAAAATTTTTCTTTTAAAAGATTTTTAGAAAGACATGGAAAAATAATTCCAAATAATTAAATTTATCATAAAAAATACATACCTACTAAAAGGTATGTATTTTTTATGATAAATTTGTTTGTGAGCATCAAATCTTGCAATCAATTTTCAAGAGTCACTTCCTGATGACAGATTCTCTTCAAACTTTACATACTCTTGCTTGATAACAATACAATATTTAAAAATTAGTTTTGTAATAAGTCAATTTAGTTAATTTTAATTAAGTTTATTTTTATATGTAAAAAAACTATGATAATTTTTAAAATAAGTATATTGATTGTTTTCATACTTATACGCACATATAGCATATTTGGATAAGGCATTGACTTCGTAAACGGAATGTCTGCGGTTTGAGACCCGCATCTTCCTTAACTTTTTTTTTTTTTTTTTTTTACACGCATTCAGCCGAATGTTAATAAAGTAAAACAGTAATATCAGAATTGATTGCAAAATTTGTAATATCAGAATTGATTACAAAGTTTTAACAACATATAAAAGCATTGGGTTTTAAAAATTTTTAGTTTTTAATTTTACTTGTTGATATTATTTTAAAGCTTTCGCGTGAAATCAAAACTTTATTTATAAAAAAAAAAAATCAATGGTTAAAAGTTATTCGTAACATAGCGATTTTTTTTTTTTTTACACACGCATTCAGCCGAATGTTAATAAAATAAAACAGTAATATCAAAATTGATTGCAAAATTTGTGTTTTAACAACATATAAAAGCATTGGGTTTTAAAAATTTTTAGTTTTTAATTTTACTTGTTGATTTTATTTTAAAGCTTTCGCGTGAAATCAAAACTTCATTTATAAAAAAAAAAAATCAATGGTTAAAAGTTATTCGTAACATAACGATTTTTTTTTATTGCATTTAAATTGTTAAAACATCAAAACAGCCATCGTCAAATTAAAAAAAAAAAAAAAAAAAAAAGCGTCGTCAGTCTCAGGGTGAAAATTTAAGTCTATCTAAAAAAACATACAATATTAAATTGAAGCTATTTATTAAAAATTGAAGTTATTAAAAAACAAAAATCTGCAATGAAATAATAAAGGAAAGAAACTACAACTTCACTAGACTAACATTAAATAAATTTAATAACATGACTAAGATTCCATAATTCCGAAAAAAATTATATTTTAAAAATTTGATCGGACACTATCCGACTCAAACAAGTTTAGATTAGACATTTTGTCCTGAACTTTTTAAAAAATTAAATTGAGCCTTATATATATATATATATATATATATATATATATATATATATATATATATATATATATATATATATATATATATATATATATATATATATATATATATATATATATATATATATATATATATATGTATATGTATATATATATATATATATCACACACACACACACACACACACACACACACACATATAAAAAATACAAAATTATTAAATACATAAATTACTCTCTCTCTCTCTCTCTCTCTATATATATATATATATATATATATATATATATATATATATACACACACACACACACACACACATATATATAAAAAATACAAAATTATTAAATACATAAATTACTCTCTCTCTCTCTCTCTCTCTCTATATATATATATATATATATATATATATATATATATATATATATATATATATATATATATATATATATATATATATATATATATATATATATATATATATATATATATATATATATATATATATATATAGAGAGAGAGAGAGAGAGAGAGAGAGAGAGAGAGTAATTTATGTATTTAATAATTTAATAGGAATTAGGAAAAATGGGGTTTGCAATTTCCCAACCTCCATCATTTTGAGGTTGGCATAAATTATTTGATACAAAGGTCTGACCATAAAACATAGAAATGAGGTCACAATTTTTTGCCGACCTCAAACACCTTCAGGTTGGCAGCTAGGTCGGCATTGCCAACCCTCATTCCAAGGTTTGTATATACATATATATATATATATATATATATATATATATATATATATATATATATATATATATATATATATATGACAATATTGTCTATTATTTGGTAGTGTTACTTTTACTATTTTAAAGTTGTTGATTTTTTTTATATAGCCACCTTGTCTTTCTTTAAAAAGTCTAATGGTTCGAGAAGTTGCCACAGGTACATCTATTTTGTTTTTTGTTTTTTTTATGAAAATATAATTTTTCTTTATTTTATATATGTACATAGTAATTTAGTACTTAAGATAAAAAATATAAAAACAACTAAATTGTCTGTAGATAACAAAGCTTTATTTTTGGTGAGTAATGGTGAACATGGTGCTCAAATGTATGAAGTTATTTGCGACAGTTACAAAGACAAAAAAGAGTGCGTATATTTTTTACTTAGTTAAAGTGAAATTTTAAGTTTTAAATATATGTGTTAATCTTTTATTTGACAGATTTATGCCAAAGCTTCAAAGCTATATTAAAAACTGCCCTGATGAGGGTGGTAAGTTTTATTTGATTGTTCTGTTAAAGGTGCTTATCCTCTATTTTCATATTTTATATATTTTTTTCATTTTTATATAATTAGTTTTTATATATATTAAAAATATGAGCAGTAATTGTTTTTTTGAATAATCTTTTTTAAAAATTTTTTTATAAGATAATACAACAGATGAAGAAGAAATAAAAAAAGAAGAAGCTGAGAGAATGGAAAGACTCCTTGAATATATTGGTTATTTTTTATATTATAAATACTGTTTTTTTATCTATTATTTTGTGTTTCTCAATCTTATTGTTATTGTGTGTCACCTGCTTAGAATATGTTATTGTGTGTCACCTGCTTAGAATATGTTATTGTGTGTCACCTGCTTAGAATATGTATAATATTGGTATCATAATCAAGCAAAGATCTTTAAAAGAATTTCATTCTACTCAATAACTTTTCTATTTTCACTTTAAATCATAAGCAAATTTTAGTTCATATAATCATTCTATGTAACAATTATGTACAATATGTTTTAGTCAAGAAGAACAAATGGTGTTGTTACTGTTTTGGGCGATAGGGCTATTCTTAAGTTCATACTATATACATACTATATAACTAGATTCTGTTAAATAAAGTATTTTTACAAATAAAGTAGTATGGTAAAAATAACAAATAACAATATAATTGATAAATAAAGTATTTACAAAAATACTCTTATGTAATTATTTAAAATATACAGATATGATTTAGAGTAATCATTTCCCCATCTCTGATAAAAAATTGTTTCTAATTTTTTTTTAAACTTGACAATTTATATTAAAAATACAAGTATAAAATATATTAGTATAAATATAAGTTAAGTATAAAAGTAAAAAATGATGAAAAAATTCAAAAACATCATATAACGTCACAACATATTGTGAGCAAATTAATCACCTTTTTTTACAAGTTTTTTATAAGGACTAATATATATATATATATATATATATATATATATATATATATATATATATATATATATATATATATATATATATATATATATATATATATTATATATATAGGGGCAGATCAAGGATTTATTTCTCTTCAGGCAAAATTTTTTTGTTTAAATTTCCACACACACACCCTCCCCCAACCAATTTCATAACCCTTCATTTCATCTCCTTTGATGCACAACTACTGTCAGGTGTTAAAGAAACACCCCCTTCCAATTTATCAATTATTAATTTTTTCCTATCTACCCGAATTCATATTTTCAAGAAATTCTCACTTCACCTAATTTATTATGACATCCCTCTCCCAGTTTACTTTGCACACTAGAGTTTTATGACTTGGTCAAATTTTTTTTATTATGTATGTTAAAAATCCTTACTAAATTTGAGGCATTATTTTATCTATAAAAAATAAACATAAATTTAAATTGAAATGAGATTATACCTTTACCTCATTTTTAAAATCTGTACACAAATAGTAGAATTAAATTTCTATTTATTAATTATAAACTAAATTCAGAATATATGCTAATGCTCCACCTCCACAGTATAAAGGCTGAAAGAGTATCTGTCTAGAAGGTATTTGTTTAAAGCACATGAACCACATCAAGGTTCCTTCCTATTCATGTGTACGATTTTTTATGCAGAACGATTGAAGGACATTATGAATAACTGAACCAATAAAAAACACAACTCTTAGACAGGGCTTAAAACTTCTAAATTTTGGCACCAACCATCAACTGTATAATTTAAATAAAATAAGACTGATTAATAAAAAGTATATATAACTATAAATATATATACAATTTCGAGCTTTTGATGTTTGTTTCTGAACAGAAATTTTGCTTATTATGAATGCAGGTTTTTTTTATACAGAAAACATAAAGAATTTAGTTCATAAGACAACTTGCAAGTTTCATTTAATAAAAATACATTGTTTTGCTATAAAGTTATTCGTACATAATAAAAAATGTCAGACATCATAAATAAGGCACTTAAAGAACTTTACATATGCTAACTGCAAAACCCTTATGCAATTTGTTGGCTTGTTTATCTACATTTTTTAAGTTGCACAGTTAATTTCCAGACTTTTTATCTAGATCCAGATCAGATTAGGCAGATTGACCACTTAGTTTCATACCACTTTAAACATAATTTACCTTTCATTTGTTAAAGTGATTAATAATACCTCTTACCAAGATTAGATAAGTCAAAACTTATTTTGCCTAATGTATGAAAAAGCCAATATGCCCAATCATAGTTTAAACACTCCTGCACTTACCGTATATATATATATATATATATATATATATATATATATATATATATATATATATATATATATATATATATATATATATATATATATATATATATATATATATATATATATATATATATATATATATATAGCAATGTTATTTTCAATGTACATTTTGTGTATAGTGAAGTGCTCATAATTTTAGTATATTTTAATATATATTTTAGTATATATAATTTTAGTTCATAATTATTAATAGCTTTTTTCAGACTGAACATGTTCAGGATAATTTTAAATGTTATTTTTCTAATAAAAACAAAAACACATTTAGACATGAATAATTTTGTAATTTTGAGAATTTATTTTTTTAGAACAATTACAATCAGCAGATGAAAAAATTAGTAAAATATTTTCTGAAAAAAATAAATTTTTAAGCAACCTTAGAGTAAGTTGTTTTTTTTGTGCTTTTTATTATTTAAAAACAAAAAAAACTTTTTAATAAATTTTATTAAATTAAATGATATGATATTTATTATCCATATTTTGATTATCTCACAAATCCAAAGTTCGCATAAATGTGAATTTCGGATTTGTGAGATAATGAATCAAGTGGTTTAACTTGTTTTTAAATATTTATGTTAAATTATTAATAGATTTGCTTTAAATCTCTTTAATTTTTTCATTATATAATTGTTTAATTTTTTTTTTTTTTTTTTTTCAAAGTTGTTTATATAAAAAATTATATTTATAATATATTGCTATAAAATAAAATAATTCTGTTATACTTTTATTGCAGGAACTTTTAGAAACAATGGATGAATCTGGAGTTTTAAAGGTTGTTTATACATATATTAGGATTGTTTATTCATAAATATATATATACATATATTGATAGTTTTTTAGTTTCATTGTTTGTACAACTTATATTGTTTGTACACTATTAATGTAACACAGTGTAACTTACATTGTGATAATACCGGCATGTTAGACTTTGAATATTAGGTGAAAATCACTTTCACTTTTATAATTGAATGGTTTATAGTTTCAGCTCAAATTTAATTGCTTACAGTTACCTACAGAATTATAAATAAAAGCACATGTTTTCTTCACTTAAATTTACAATTTAAAGGTTTTGTATAACAAGGACTGTGAAGGGTTTTGAAGTTCAAAATTTTTTTTTTCAGAAGTTCACATCATACGCTAAGTAGAATTTTATGAATATCAATTATAACTGATGTTTTCAACATTGTCTAAAATTTAATTGATTCAAATGGACCAATGATGTTTAAACATGTCGATGGTGTTTTGTTTTTTTGTAGATAAAACCATTAAGTAAAATATTAAGGCGATGTTTGTGGTGTGTGTTTTTTAATAGTCTTGCTTTTTATATAACGTTTAAGAAATAAAACATTTTATATCTTAATAATATTGAAATTTTTATTTGCAGGGTCCACCATGTATTTCTGTTAAACGTGTAGATATTGAAAACGCTAGGTTTGTTGTTGTTTTCATTATTTTTGTTGCTTTAAGTATTTTTAAATAATGCATGCATCACAAATGTGTTAAACAAATGTGATAGGAGCACATTACTCACACCAAATGTGTTAAAACTACTGATGCTTTGAAGCAATTCTGTTTGTTTTTAGTTTTTTATATAATGAAGTATAACAAGTAAATTTTTTCGATCATTTTTTTTTTTTAGAGAAACTCTGGAAAACTGTCTTTCAGAAGGTTTATTTTTGTTATAAATGCAAATTGCCTATATTATTTTATCTCATAGCAATAAGCTTTTAAAAGTAAATAACCTAATTAAAAGTAAATAATTTTTTTTTTTTTTTAAGTGAACGCTCTTGCTTCAATGATCTGTTCTTACAATGTTGATTTAACAGTTACAAGTCCATCACCCACTCCTATAAATAATTCAACAAACTCTCTCAATAACTCTACTCATTTACCTCGAAGCGAAACCTTTACCGCCGCTGAGCGTGCCAAATCGGTTTCTACCTCAAATAATATTAATCGAATATACTCATTAAAACCACATAATCGAACTGTAAACTCAGTTGTGGAAGATTCAAAACCAAGGCGACAAAGTCAACTTTTATCAGCTTTGAGTCGTGGAACAAGCCAAAAGCTTATGGGTTCTAGTGAAGATTTAACCTCGGTAGCATCTTCTGTGTCATTGTCGAGTTTATCGACTGTAACATCAGCACTGTCGCAGGTATTTAGAAAATTTTGGTTCACGTTTAGTAGGTTCTACATTTATAACTCTTAAAACATATTACGTTATTTTTTTTTAATTATTTATTAACTTATAGGTATATAGTTATTTTATAAATATTATAGTTTTCATCAGACTTACTCTCACTATATTTAATTAGTAGCATTTTCTTATTTTAAAAAATGTTTAATTTAGGTTTCGTTATTCCAATCGCTAAAAGATCACTTGAATTCATTAGTTGTAAGCTTTCGCTTTTGCTTTTAAATATATGTGTGTGTGTGTGTATGTTTGTGTGTGTGTTTTGTTAATACATATCTTTAAAAAAAAAAATTTCTCACATCTTTTGATAACAATCACTTTTAGTTATTAAGTATTAAACTTATTATAAAATAGATAAAGGTTTTTGATATCAATTTTTTTTTAATGGTAATGTGTTTCATTAAAAACAGTAACGTTGCTAAAGTATTTGATATTCATCTTAAAGCAGAATATTTTATTGATTTTAACGTTTTTTAAATTTAGGATGTAACTACCAAACAGGATTTGGAAGTTGCAAAGTAAGAAATGGAGTTTTTATTTTTTAATGTTACTAAAATGTTTACGTTTATGCATTTAAAAACTGACGTAAATAATTTTCTAGAATGCGTTTCGATCTTCAAGAATCACGTTCAGAAAACGTGCGGTTAGTTGAGGAGCGGAAGCAACTGGAAGAAAAACTAACTCAGCAACAAAAAGACTCAGAACGTCAGTTACGTTACGAAAACGAAAAATATTTGAAATTAACTCGTGAATTTAAGCGTAATAATGACAGACTTAATAAACAAATGGAAGAGAAAAAAAATCAGTATCAACAGCTACTTGATGCCTATAACGCCCTTAACAAACATTCAGGGGAACTTTCTAATCAAGCAGATGACAATCAAAAAGCTTCTGACGATGTATTATATTTTTGATACTGTTGCCGTTTTTGATAAAGCAGCTCATTCGTTTAGTAATTATCAAATATATTGTAGAAAGTGGACCTTTCTGCAGTTTTTATATTTTTTTTAGTGTTAATTTTTTAGCTCTTTCAAATTTTTACTCATAGCAAGCCTAATTTTCGATTATTTTTTATATATATATATATCAATAAGTTCGACAGAAAAGATTTGGATTATTTTGCGAATTTGTTTTAAAAAAAAGTAAAAACTAGCAAATCTTTCATTTTAAACCTTCCAGAGAAAACCCTCAGGAGCTTGTAAATTTTTAGTATCGTTTGTTTGTATATAAGACAATTGCGGTAGAGAGCTCATATATTTATCAAAATGACTTTATAAATTCCTTAATGTAAAGTTGCAAACATGTGCTAAATGGTATGTTATATATTTTCAGGTGATTTTTTTAGTGTTTAGTCTTTATTTGTTTTGTGAATGTCTGTGCTTGCTGTTTGTTTTTGTTTTGTTAGTAATTTATTAGTAAGATAGTACTACTATAAATATACATAGACTTATTTCATACTTTTCATGTGTGTGTGTATCGCTATATAATTAGAACAATTTTTCTCTAACAAAAATCACACACTTATAATTAACATTTTAAAGTTTTTATTTAATATTAGTTAAATACACGCAGCTGTCAATAGTTTTATTTTCCATAAAGTACTTAGGTACCGCGCAACTGTCAATAAAGAAAATGCATTTTTATCGTTACAGAAACGAAATAAAATACTTAATATATTTTTTGAATCTTATTTTAATTCCATTAAATATTTTTCAACATCCTTAAATCATTTAAAATGCCGTTAAATGTGGCTCTGTTATTTGAACTTTTTTTTTGGCAATTGTAATTTAGTTTTTCTCTTTATAAGCAAATAATAAAATTAGTTACAGGTTATAACAATAATCGGCCAATAAAGTGATTGCAAATTAATGAGTCTGAAAGGTCAATTTATACTTTCGTACTAACGTTTTATATAATTTAGTTTAAATTCGTTAAGCAACGTCCAGTGATACAAAAACACTTAAAATTTGGCTAAAATACAAATACAGAGTAGCGCAATTTAAATAAATTTATTTACTAACTCTTTTTTTACAGTTTCTTATGACTCAAACGGTATAAAAAAATAAGTACTGAAATAATAGATTTGAATAATAATATATGTTTAGAAGTGACCGAAAAAAGCAGCTTTTTTATCATTAAAATTCTATCATTATTAAAAATTAGTTTTCTCCCTAAATACAAAATCTTTTTAATATTTATTACAAAAAGATAATAGATGATTTTATTATAATTTATAAAAATATTTGAGTAAGTATTTATACAAGTTGTAAGAAATGCTACTTTAACGAAATTAAACTGATTTTTATGGAGCTAGGATTTTATACCTTCGACTTCCTTTGCAGAGCTAATTCCTTTTACAAAGAGAATTTGTACCATTCTTTAAGAAACCAAAAAAATTAATTGTCCCATTTAATGAAATAATGTGATTTTAAAAAACTCATTTAATAGAAAAAATTAACGGCGTAAATTAACTTCAATTTTCATTTTTTTCCAGACGTGTCTAAACAAAAATATTTTAATATGAATGTTTATGTGCAAAGGGTGATATTTTTCTTTTACTTTAGTATAAAATAAATGTAAAGTTTACAAAACATTAACTTTCTTTAGTTCTTTAAGGCAGAATTTTAATTGATGGAAATGACTTACCTCAAAATTTACTTTTTATTTACATTTCTTTTTTATTTTTACAAAAAAAAAAAAAAAAAATCCTTCATCCCTCCCTCCTAAAGAATTTACAACTTGATTTATATGTCGATGTTTATTGTTGTTTTCGCATTTTTGTTTTCTTTTCGTTTATTTAATGTTATTAATTTAATGTCTATTTAGTTAACTGATTTAACAAAGCCAACTTTTTTTTAATAATAGGTTTTTTTCTTTTGGGGCTCAAACTTTATTTGTTCTTATTCAGGTTTTGGGCAGTGTATGTCTTGCCCTTTTTCAGGAACTCTTTGCCTGATATTGTTTATTTTATGCGCTGTAAAATAAGTCTTCCAGGATTTAACACTTTTCATAGATCGACTTTTCATAAATCATAATATTTTTCATAAATCGACTGACAAATAGGTAGAACATACATGTTGGTAGAACATGCAAGAAATGTAGATAAATCGGCTGAAAAATAGGTAGAACATGAAAGGAGTGCCGTTACATTGACTGAGAGTTTTGGTTTAGGCAGGCAATTTATCAATTTCAAAGAAATGGGGGATTTTTTTTAATGGGGGATTTTTTCCTAGAACCATCGAGAGACAAGCTGTGCCCGCCCAGGACAAACTGTGGCCTCCGAGAAAGGGGGCCACAGTTTGTCCCGGGTGGCAGATATCCAAGGGGCGCCAAATGAAATGTAGGTACCTAAAAAAAAAAGGTCCTTCATATATGAATTGCTAACTTGAAAAAGGGACATGTCCTGCAAAAATTCACATAACATGTACCCTTTTTCAAGTTAGCGATTCATATAATATAGGGAAATTTTGATAAAAAATGGCGCCAATCAGGATTGCTGTCCCAGGCGGCGTGACAGCTCTCGGCGACCTTGTTTGTATTTAGTATTTGTCGCGAAGAATATACAAAACAACAAACTGATTTGATCATCTGTTGTCCTTAAAATGTTTTTTCTTTTTTGTCGCTTCCATTAATACACAAAGTATTTCTATTTGTTTTGTACGATAACAGAGCTCGAGCAAAACAAAAGTGAAAAATATGTCTAAACAAATGCAAAAGTTTAGAAACCTTAAGCCATTTATTTACTGGAAAATCTTTTTCTGTTAACAAATTACTCAGGTTTCTGAACTTTTTTAATAACTTATAATTCTTTTTGGAGTGTATAAGCAATGATTATGGTGAGTTTCAAGTAAATAGATTTGCTTTTTTTCTCTTCTATTAAGTACAAAACAGTTTTAAGAACAGTCATTTAATAAAGTCAAGGGCTAGTGTATTTGAATGTCCGCAAATTTTTGACAACTTATCAAAGATTAACAGTTCACTTGGACTAATGTCAGACCATTAATTATAAATACGCCAAGTTATCATTCAAAGATGTTATTAATGATCGCATTATTAAAAATGACATTAGTCCAAAAACTTACTCGGAAACACACAAATAATTACACAAAAATTGTAATAATTTAAAAAAACTTAGCAGTATAAGTTACACACTCCAAGAAGATATTACACAAATCAATTTATTATATGATTGTGGGGCAGAGTTTTCTACATATTTTATGTATTTGTGTATTCTTTAGAAGATGTGCTACTCTTTGAATAAACTTTAATCTAACCTTAAATGGTGCCAAGAAGTATATTAAGTAGTATATCAGTATTGAATGGTACCAAGAAGTATATCAATTCAGTATTTAAAAAAAAGCATGCTGGACATGTTGGAGTTAAATGAGGGATGTACAGTTGAGTTTTTTCGCATTATTTTTTGCATAATAATTTTGACATAATAGATATAGATCAAGGTATAAAAAGAGATAATGCTAAATCAAATTAAAAGTTGCAAAATTTTATATATTTATTAACCTACTCTAGCTTAACTTACTTAAACATAAATACTATCACAACTTGGAGCTGTAATACTCTTTATGTCTAAAGCAAATATGGGTTATCTCCAGAAACATTTCAATCTTACTTTAATGAAATTCTTATTAATAACTTCTTATATACTAGATTTCAAAGATCTTTTTTAAAAACAATTTAAAAGTTTTTGAATTAAATAAATCATTTAAAATTATTAATTAACTTTGTTTAGTTTTTGTAACTAATTGTCTTTAGCAACACCAATTAAACTATGATAAGTTTTCGGTAGCCTAACTTCGGACCAAGTTAGTCAAAAAAATCTTGCGACTTATCTGGCCCTTTTATTCGGCTGACGAGATTTTAAAAACTTCTTAAAGCACTTTAAATTGTTTTATTTTTGTCGTTCGGTAGCGTAACTTCAGGCCAAGTTAGTCGAATTTAAATATATGATGATTGCCCCCTGACTAATTTAAAAGAAGCCTTTTCTAACAATAATTCTTTGATTGTTTTAAATAAAATTTAAATAATTTTTGATTTGGCATGCATTTACAATCTGTAAGGTATTTGCTTGAAAATGGATTTATTGAAAGTTTACAAACTCTTTATTCAGAATTGTCAGTAAAGATTAATCTCCTTCATAAGTCAGATTTTTATCAGTTGTTGACTGTTCATCAATAAAGAGTAGAGCACGACATTCCTCAGGAGTCAAGAACAACTAGGCGGTGAAGTAAGATTTTATTTATCCTAACAAGTAAAAAAAAAAATTACATTTAAAATTTGTAAACATATTATCCCTGCGTTCGTTCATTTGGGGATGTAAATTTATATAGTAATAATATTATGAAATACATTTTTTGCCTTGATCTAATTGGTTCAGCTTTTTACCAAACTGATTTATTGTAAATAAATGATTAAATCCAAGTTTATTTTCCATTGAGCTTATTGTAGATTTTTTTTTACTTTAAAAATTTTTAATTATCCTTTTTACAGATCTGATCAGATCTGTTTAAGCTCTGATCAGTTACAGTGATCAGTTACAGTGATCAGTTACAGTGATCAGTTACAGTGATCAGTTACAATGATCAGTTACAGCTCTGATCAGTTACAGCTCTGTTACAGATCTGATCAGATCTGATTCAGCTGAATCAACTGACAATTGCTTATTTAGCTCATTTTGGATTTATCTGTGTGGTGATAATAGTCTAGCAATGGATTTAAAAATACTGACAGCAATTGATTTATATTTAAATGCCTCTTTTTACAGTAATCATCCATTGTTTGTAAGCTTGTGCTCAATGTATCCAAATGAGTTTTTATCAATTGATAATTTGTTAGCAGTGTCTGTATCCACACATTTTATAGACTCAGGAAAATTAAAAAATGACCTTGTTAAGGAAGAAACATTTCATATGTGTAAAGAATTTTTATGGTCTGAGTTTCTTTGTGTTCTTGCTCTTTCAACTGTGTGTTCTACAAGAGTTAAGTGTTACTATAGAACAGTTTTTTCCTAAAATATAAAATTATGTTTAATCTTAATATTGAACCTTATTCTATGTTCATCATCAGATATTGTTAATTTGTTGTTTCGTTCGAAGGCTTCTACTTTGAAAGATTTACAAATATAAAATTTGATTCAAAATGTTTTTGTTTCTGATGAAACTTCTTTTTTAAAAACAAATGGGCAATCTTTAAAAACTTTTATCATTAAAACAATTTTCATAGCTTAGATATTTACCTTCTGAAGATGGAGCATTTTGTTTGTGTTGCCTTTTGTTTAGATATAAATACCTTTCAAAAACTTCTAGATTTAAAAATTTGTATTCTCAGTCATTCAAATATAGGCCAGATGCTGTGAGCACTTTTAATAGACATTACCTTGGGAAAAACGGGAATAATTATGAAAATTACTCAGCTGAAATATTTAT